ATTTCCTTTTTGCTCCCGAACCTAACAAGGAAGACAAAAACAAAACATATTAGTTAAAATAAAAATAAAATTTTATTAAAATTTGAGTTATGACAGTTGCCCCCATTTTCTTTTTCTTTCTGTCAAGAATGAAAAGAAAAGAAAAAACAAGAATAACTCAAAATTTTAACAGTTGCTTTTTTTTTTTTCTTTTTTTTTTTTCAACTAAATAGGTAAAGTAAAACTGGTCAAATGACTGGACAAGTAAAGTAAAAACGGTTAGAACCGCAACGATCAGATTGACCGAATGAATGAGAGAAGACGGTTAGAAAACCGCAACGATCGGATTAACCGAACGGATGAGAGAAAACGACTAAAAAGCCGCAACGATCGGATTAACCGAACGAATGAGATTAAACGACTAAAAAGCCGCAACGATCGGATAAACCGAACGAGAGAAGTAAAAACGGTTAAGAAACCGTAACGATCGGATAAACCGAACGAGAAAAGAGTAGAGTATGAGTATGGTCGAATGACCGAAAAAAGTAGAGTATCAGTATGGTCGAATGACCGAAATAGTAGAGCATGAGTATGGTCGAATGACCAGAACAGTAGAGTATCAGTATGGTCGAATGACCAAAAGGAGTAGAGTATCAGTATGGTCGAATGACCGGAAAAGTAGAGTATCAGTATGGTCGAATGACCGAGAAAGTAGAGTATCAGTATGGTCGAATGACCGAGACAATAGAGCATGAGTATGGTCGAATGACCAGAACAGTAAAGCATGAGTATGGTCGAATGACCGGAACAGTAGAGCATCAGTATGGTCGAATGACCGGAACAGTAGAGCATGAGTATGGTCGAGTGACCGGAACAGTAGAGTATCAGTATGGTCGAATGACCGGAACAGTAGAGCATGAGTATGGTCGAATGACCGGAACAGTAGAGCATGAGTATGGTCGAATGACCGGAACAGTAGAGCATGAGTATGGTCGAATGACCAGAACAGTAGAGCATGAGTATGGTCGAATGACCAGAACAGTAGAGCATGAGTATGGTCGAATG